AGCCTGGCTTCTACTTTTCTACTAGAAGTTCAAAAATGTCTGGCCCGATGCAAGGAAAAATAATGAGGGCAATAGTCACTTCGGTGCCGAAGCTGAACCTTTGCAGAATGGTCCTCTTCTGGGTTCAGTGGCACCTGGCTTAATTCAACCCACTTCCTGTGAGCCCAAGCCACCATGATCATGAAGATACCTCCATGGCACACCAAGCCTGTGTTAATTCTTCTCTACAGAGTGCTGAAACAAGTACTGGATGGTGCGGAGCAATCCAAAGCTGCCCCCTTGCAGAATAGCTTCAATGGTCCTCTTCTGGGTCCTGGACCTAGCTTCATGCAACCCACCTTCTAAGAGCCCAAGCCACCATGATCATGAAGATACCTTCATGGCACACCATCATGATCATGAAGATACCTCCATGGCACACCAAGCCGGTGTTCAGACTTATCTACAGAGTGCTGAAACATTTACCGGACGGCGCGGAGCAATCCGAAGCTGCCCCTTGTAGAATAGCTGCAGTGGTCCTCTTCTGGGTCCTGGACCTAGCTTCATTCAACCCACCTTCTAAGAGCCCAAGCCACCATGATCACGAAGATACCTCCATGGCACACCAAGCCGGTGTTCATACTTATCTGCAGAGTGCTGAAACAAGTACTGTATGGTTCAGGGCAATCTGTAGCTGCTCCTTGCAGAATGGTCCTTTTCTGGGTTCCATGACAGCTTCATTCAACCCACTTACTGTGAGCCCAAGCCACCATGATCATGAAGATACCTCCATGGCACACCGCCATGATCATGAAGTTACCTCCATGGCACACGAAGTCGGTGTTCATACTTATCTACAGAGTGCTGAAACAACTGATGGATGGAGCAGAGCAATCCGAAGCTTCCCCTTGCAGAATAGCTGCAGTGGTCCTCTTTTGGGTTCTGGCACTTAGGTTCATGCAACCCACTTCCTGTGAGCCCAAGCCACCATGATCATGAAGATACCTCCATGGCACACCGCCATGATCATGAAGTTACCTCCATGGCACACGAAGTCGGTGTTCATACTTATCTACAGAGTGCTGAAACAACTGATGGATGGAGCAGAGCAATCCGAAGCTGCCCCTTGCAGAATAGCTGCAGCGGTCCCCTTTTGGGTTCTGGTTCTATTGTGCATGGCCCATACACAAGCCCTTTGGTTCGGTTCTGGAAGGGCTCCGGCGGCCGAAGCGAGCCGAAGGATCATCGGAAGCTACGGCTGGATCCTTCGGCTCTGTAGCGAATAACCCCCTTTGTGACGTGTGTGCATAAACACTGGGAACGTTCCCCTTTAATGTTTTGCGTCCCTACGTCTCCGCGATCCGTCGTGGTGCTGTGTGATATCAGACCGCGCGGTATGTTAGCTTCACCCGCCCCCTATATAAACGCTGAAATGTGGAGCTAGAGCAAAACAACAATTGACTTCCAGCAAAGAAGATGAAAGCGCTTGCATCCCGCTCTCCGCTCTGACACCACGTTTTACAAGTGTTCACGGACAGTTTAAGTTGGCATGCGTCCCGAAAGTTTTGGTATGCAGAAACTATTATATCAACCGAGATAAGCGGCGAACTTTCCAAAAACACAGGAACCTGTAACGATTAACAATATAGAGGGAACACCCATCCATCCCATGTCCTCGCATAGGCTTTGAACTCGTTGTTATAACCTTTGTTTATAAGATATCCGGTCTATGACAAGATCCCCGTTTCAACAGTCACACGATGACATCATTGGACGCTGCATGATATATGAATTCACGTGGCCCTTCGGGTACCTTATCACACTTTATAGGAGTGTTTGTACAATGAAAAATATTAAAGGAGAACTATAAAGCAAACCCACCACTTTGCCTACATGCAACTGCGGGTGGGGCTGCAGCTGATTGGCTGGTAGCAGAAGAAGCTTCCTTCCAAGTCCAGAGGAGCTGAGGTCGGGACTGGAGCTCATCCCTAGTGACAACGTAGGAGCACAATTGGCAGGGACGGAGCATGGTCACTCTATAACAGGAAGCGCCTGGACAAGGACCTTCATGGCTGGATCACCGGGGAACATTACCATGTTAAAGGAGAACTATGAGGTGAGTGCTTTTCACTCACCTCATAGTTCTAGCCGACCTGTGAAAATGAGACTGTCACAGGTCGGCTCAGTAGATCGGGAGGTGAACGAACACATACCGGCGTTCGCTCACCTCTCGATCCTGTCACGGCTCTCTGCCGTGACAGGGGAGGGGCTGGATTCCCCCCTCCCCGCTCCGATCCGCCGGGCGCTGACTGGCAGAACGGACGGGGAGGGGGCGGGTACAGCTGTCCCTGCCTCTAGATAGGCAGAGCCAGCTGTCAGTCACGCTGCTGGGCGGATCCAGACATAATTGTTGGGATCCGCTTCAGCTGCGGCGTCTCAGTATACCGCGAGCTACAGCTGGCGGTATACTGAGCCTAGGGTGACGGGAGGACGCTAGTTTGTGTCCTCCCGTTACCCTGAGGAGAACTATGGGGAAAAGTCTTAACCCCATAGTTCTCCTTTAAAAATCGTCAATTGGTGGAACATTATTGTGGTCACATTGCATCACATAGGCTTTGGTGTGTATGTGATATTTAGAACAGTGGTTCTCAACCCCCTGGGCCGCAGCCTCCTACTTTCCGGGGCCGTGGCTTCTTCTTTCGCACTGGCCTACCGGATCCCCGTGACTGATAAAGCCGGGGGAACTACTATTCCTTTTTACTACTTCA